GCCACAACGCCCGGCTATTTTTTTGGTTGCAGCCATTATTGTTGTTTGGCAGGCCCGGGCTGGATTCGAACCCACCAGCTCAGGTGTATGTGGCTGGCGCCTTAGCCGCTTGAGCCACAGGCGCTGAGCCTACTCTTCTGTTCTTTCTGGGTACCACCATGCATTTCCACGGTGTCATATCGTTTCTCAGGTATTTGAGTATAGCATCCCAGACAAACAGTATACAGAGTGGAGCCGGACTATCCAGAAGCAGGGGTTTCACCAGGTTTGGCTCCAAAGGGATACGCCCATCACACACATCAGTTTTCATCCCAAGAGACCAATGCACATCCTTCTCCACGATGCCTACATGTTCTGCATCATTGACAAGTCATTGGTGAGTGCTTCATTTCTACCTCACTGAATCTTTTTTGCCTTGGAATCTTAAATTCTAAAAGCTAGAAGTACAATGAGATTGTGGAAGGAAAATCAGAATAAAGAGTTCTAGGATACTCTTTGGAGTAAAGGAACTTTTGTTTTTACAGATTTCCTTATTCGTGTTCCCAAGATCAAGAGGATCTCAGGGAAGGGACTGACCTTTTTGTATCGTTTTGTTTTGTTTTTTTCTGATTTGACTGTTTCTCTGTTTTGCTAATGAGTACACAAACTTAAGTAGGAAAGTGATTTGTTCAGTATTCAGAAGGTGACCCTTTCAGGGAATATTGTTGATTCGGCTAACTCATTTTCATCATTGAACTCTGAAATGTTTGATAACATGGCTTGATGAAAGCAGATACAGGCTGATGTTTTGACCACTGTGTCCCTTGGCTGAAAATACTTGAAACACTATTTGTAGGCTTGAGGAATCTTAATTCCTTGAAAAAAGTACAGCTAGGAAAATTCCATTCTTTATGGCTTTGATTTAGATGGGATGTGAGCACTTTCTTCAGTTTTAGATTCCAGCCTCTTTGCCAGCCACTGTTTGGCTTCCTCAGAATTCACATGTCTTTTCTGGGGAGGTGCTTTTCATTCCTTAGAGCATTGTGGCCGTGCCTGGAGTGCACTTGGGGCCTAGATTATAACCAGCACACTGTGTTGTGGTGTATTTGTGAAGGTGGGGGTGGAGGGAGCATGGGGAAAGCAGCAGATGGCTTTGAAGAGGTGTGCATGGGGATGTATCATTGGAATCATCTCATGGGCCCTAGCTCCTCTGGGTGTGGGAAGCAGAGCTGGCTGACAAGTGCCTTCTGCGAGATGAGTGATTCAGGAAGGGCCCCTCCTTCTTGCTTGCCTCTTTGTAACTCAGCCCAGATTGTTTTGTCCCAAGGGTTGGTTTTAAGTCGATCACTTCCTTATACTGGGCAGACCTATTTCCCAAGGAAGTCAGAGATGAAATATCATTTGTTGGCTCAGCGCCTATAGCTCAACCGGCT